AGGAGAAAGCACTCGCTATCACAACAGAAATTGGTAACAGGAATGGAGAAGCAAGAAGCTACGGAAACCTAGGAGTTTTGTTCCGATCACTCGGTCAATATGACAAGGCCCGAGAATATCTAGAGAAAGCACTCGCTATCAAAATAGAAATTGGTGACAGGGATGGAGAGGCAAGAAGCTACGGAAACCTAGGAACTTTGTTCCAATTACTCGGTCAATATAACAAGGCCCGAGAATATCAGGAGAAAGCACTCACTATCACAATAGAAATTGGTGACAGGGATGGAGAAGCATCAAGCTACGGAAACCTAGGAGCTTTGTTCCAATCACTCAGTCAATATGAGAAGGCTCGAAATTATCAGGAGAAAGCACTCGCTATCAGAATAGAAATTGGTGACAGGGATGGAGAAGCAACAAGCTACGGAAACCTAGGAACTTTGTTCCAATTACTCGGTCAATATGACAAGGCCCGAGAATATCAGGAGAAAGCACTCGCTATCAGAATAGAAATTGGTGACAGGCATGGAGAAGCATTAAGCTACGGAAACCTAGGAACTTTGTTCCAATCACTCGGTCAATATGACAAGGCCCGAGAATATCTGGAGAAAGCACTCGCTATTAAAACAGAAATTGGTGACAGGAATGGAGAAGGAACAAGCTACGGAAAACTAGGAAATTTGTTCCAAGCCCTCGGTCAATATGACAACGCACGAGAATATCTGGAAAAAGCACTTGCTATCAAAACAGAAATTGGTGAAAGGAATGGAGAAGGAACAAGCTACGAAAAACTTGGATTTTTGTTCCAATCACTCCTTCAATATGGCAAGGCCCGAGAATATCAGGAGAAAGCACTCGCTATCAAAACAGAAATTGGTGACAGGAATGGAGAAGCAAGAAGCTATGGAAACCTAGGAATTTTGTTCCAATTACTTGGTCAATATGACAAGGCCCGAGAATATCAGGAGAAAGCACTCGCTATCAGAATAGAAATTGGTGACAGGAATGGAGAAGCAGCAAGCTACGGAAACCTAGGAGCTTTGTTCCAATCACTCGGTCAATATGACAAGGCCCGAGAATATCAGGAGAAAGCACTCGCTATCACAATAGAAATTGGTAACAGGGATGGAGAAGCAACAAGCTACGGAAACCTGGGAACTTTGTTCCAATCACTCGGTCAATATGACAAGGCCCGAGAATATCTGGAGAAAGCACTCGCTATCAATATAGAAATTGGTGACAGGAATGGAGAAGCAACAAGCTACGGAAACCTAGGAACTTTGTTCCAATCACTCGGTCAATATGACAAGGCCCGAGAATATAAGGAGAAAGCACTCGCTATTACAAAAGAAATTGGTAACAGGGATGGAGAAGCAAAAAGCTACGGAAACCTGGGAACTGTGTTCCAATCACTCGGTCAATATGACAAGGCCCGAGAATATCTGGAGAAAGCACTCGCTATGGAAACAGAAATTGGTGACAGGAATGGAGAAGCAACAACCTACGGAAACCTAGGAAGTTTGTTCGAATCACTCGGTCAATATGACAAGGCCCGAGAATATCAGGAGAAATCCCTCGCTATTACAAAAGAAATTGGTAACAGGGATGGAGAAGCAACAACCTACGGAAACCTAGGAACTTTGTTCCAATCACTCCGTCAATATGACAAGGCCCGAGAATATCAGGAGAAAGCACTCGCTATCAAAACAGAAATTGGTAACAGGAATGGAGAAGCAAGAAGCTACATAAACCTAGGAATTTTGTTCCAATCACTCGGTCAATATGACAAGGCCCGTGAATATCAGGAGAAAGCACTCGCTATCCGAATAGAAATTGGTGACAGGCATGAAGAAGCAGGAAGCTATGGACACCTAGGAGCTTTGTTCCAATCACTCGGTCAATATGAAAAGGCTAGAGAATATCAGGAGAAATCACTTGCTATTACAATAGAAATTGGTGACAGGGATGGAGAAGCAACAAGCTACGGAAACCTAGGAAATTTGTTCAAATCAATCGGTCAATATGACAAGGCCCGAGAATATCAGGAGAAAGCACTCGCTATCAGAGTAGACATTGGTGACAAGCATGGAGAAGCAAAAACGTACAAAAGCCTAGGAGCTTTGTTCCAATCAATCGGTCAATATGACAAGGCCCGAGAATATCAGGAGAAAGCACTTGCTATCACAACAGAAATTGGTAACAGGGATGGAGAAGCAACAAGCTACGGAAAGCTAGGAAGTTTGTTCGAATCACTCGGTCAATATGACAAGGCCCGAGAATATCAGGAGAAAGCACTCGCTATCAGAATAAAAACTGGTAACAGGGATGGAGAAGCAACAAGCTACGGAGAACTTGGAACTTTGTTCGAATTACTCGGTCAATATGACAAGGCCCAAGAATATCAGGAGAAAGCACTCGCTATCAAAAAAAAAATTGGTGACCGGATTGGAGAAGCAACAAGCTATGGAAACCTCATGTGTTTGTTTCTTTCACAAGGCATGTATGCAAAGGCTGATTTCTATCTAGAGAAGGCAATGGAAGTTGGAAAGGACATCGGTTATAGAAGCGGAGAAGCAGTAAATTATTCATGCCTTGGTGAAATTTCTTTTAAGCGTGGTGAATATGACAAGGCTCAAGAATATTACGAGAAAGCCCTTACCATTTGTAAGGATTTCGATAATAAAGAAGGAGTAGTAGTCAGCTACAACAATATAGGAGCGTGTTACCAACAGCTTGGTAAACGTGACATAGCGGAAGAATACCTCAAGCGAGCTCTCTTATTAAGTAGGGATATTGGACACAACTTGAACGAATTTCAATGCCTTTGTAATCTATCGAGTATAATGGCGTCACAAGATCATCTTGAAGAGGCTTCTTGGTATCTTTTTCAAGCCATCCAAAAGTTCGAAACTTTGAGAGGTTTTCTTAAAGAAAACGATGAGTTTCAAATATCTCTTTTAGAAAAGTACGGCAATTTTCCTTACGAGATGTTCAGCAGGTTGCTTTCTTTCACTGGTAAGCCGCAAGACGCCCTTTATGTCGAAGAGCTGAGAAGGGCAAGAGGCCTGGCCGACTTGATGACAGATCGGTACTCTGTTCAAGAGCAGATCTCAAGCGATCCACAATCTTGGTGTGGTATTCAAGGGATCATCAGAAGAGAAGCAGACTGTGCATGCCTGTACATTTCGGTTGGTAAAAATGATGTACGACTTTGGATAATAAAAGCAACGGGAGCTTTTATTTTTTCACAAAAGAAAGTGAACCTGGACCCAAACAAGGTGACCGGAATAGTCCCTGAGTTAGATGATTTTTTTAAAGAACTGATGTCACCTCTTAACTGTCATTACTATGATACTGAAGATTTCAAAACAAGTCTTCACTTGTGTTACAACATAATCATTGCTCCCGTGGCCAGTTTACTGAAGCAGTCCGAGATCATAATTGTGCCTGATTCCTGTGTGTACAATGTGCCATTTGCAGCCTTGACTGACGAAGGAGGCAAGTATTTATCAGAGACATGCAGGATTCGGCTGGTTCCCTCTCTCACGACTCTAAAGCTTGTGCAAGACAGTCCTCCAGACTATCACAGTCAGACCGGGGCTCTGATAGTGGGTGACCCTGTGGTTGGAAAGGTGATTTACAAGGGAAGGTGCAGCATTATGATACCATTGCCGTGTGCAAGAAAGGAAGCAGAGATGATTGGAACACTTCTTGGCGTAAGACCTTTGATAGGAGAGTCCGCTACAAAGCATTCTTTACTCCAAGCGATAAATTCAGCGAGCCTGATACACATATCTGCGCATGGAGATCCCGAAAGAGGGGAGATTGCTCTTTCTCCTGAGCACCCTACCCAATCCCTACCTTTTCCTCGAGAAGAAGAGTATCTTTTGACGATGGCAGATATTTCAAAAACTCGGTTGCGAGCTAAACTGGTGGTGCTTAGTTGTTGTCACAGTGCTCGTGGACAGATTAGAACCGAGGGAGTTATTGGAATTGCCCGAGCGTTCTTAGGATCCGGAGCTCGTTCAGTGTTAGCGGCACGATGGGCCCTGGATGACATAGCCACAGAGCAGTTCATGACTTGCTTCTACAAACATTTGTACCGCGGTGAAAGCGCAAGTGAATCTCTCCACAAGGCCAGGAAGTGGATGAGAAATAACGGCTTTGATAAAGTTTCTCAATGGGCGCCATTTATGATCATGGGCGACAACGTGACATTTGATTTTGGAAGTTGGCCGGTGCCTAGCGCACCTTAAGAGCCATGACTTTGATAAAACCTGTGTAGCAGAATGAACTGAACTTAGTAAAGCACGGAACTATCTAATTACTAGCCTGTAGAAAAAGGACGCCATATGCGAAGGAAAATTCGGATCGATACACAGAGGATAGCATTTCTGTAAAATGCTCATCAGACGTCTAAGTTTATCAATCTGAAACAAGACAGCGTACAGTGTGTCTCTTTATAAGAGTTCCGAAGTTAAAAACTCCAATCTATTTTTTAAGTTTTTAGTTCAGCAAACCACCCAAGCGAAGTGTGACAATTTTTTAGGTTTCGAACGAGATTAGTTCTTCGAGGAAAGAAAATTTTTAATCCTTTTTCAAAGGTGATTAGTTGGTCAATTCAAGAGACTTTTAAACAAATGTGTGACTTGGAAAATAAGTTTTATCTGAGCTTAAATTTTTGGAAATTTCTTGCAAGGCTTTTGAAAAAAATATTGTGGTTTAACATGCCAAAATAACCACCTAAAAAAAAAAAAATAGGGATCCTCTTAATCGTATAGTAATACAAACCCTTGTATTCTCACAGATACCCCAGAAGTTTTATCAATTTAACCCTTTAACCCCTAAGAGTGACTGGCATCTAATTTCTCCTTACAGTGTCACTCCTGAATCAAACATTAAGGTCATGAGAATAAAGGAAATGATCAACAAGTACAGGAGCTCTTGATTATCAAGCAAATTCTCCTTGTCAGCACCTTAAGAAATGTATAGAAAACAGTATAGAGAATATGCATACTGATCTTAGTGTGTAAAGGGTTAATTGATACCCCTATGTGTAGATACTGTTGTATCCTCACACAGACTCTTGTATGCTTATAGATACTTTTGTACACTCAATATCCTTCATTTTCCCTCTGCCGCGACTATTTCACTCCGTTTTATCAACTGAACGCCTGGAAAAGGTTACTTTATTATCAAAGGAAAATTTATGTAGGGGATTGCATTTTGTTGACTAAAAAAACTCAACAGATTTTTCGTCTGCTACTATTGTGCCATATCTATGAGTTATAAGACAATAAATATTCAATGAAAACCGAAAGAATACCAAATAAATTTGTATACGACAAAAATTTGCATGCGAGAAAAATAGTTCCTAATATCGTTGAAATGTATTTGAAATACACAAATATATACACATTGTAACTGTTGTTAAGTTAAAGATTAGGTTTGTTAGACATTAGTGACGCGTAAGATCAAAAGGGCTATTACAGTACCTCGCGCGTTGTTGCTTGAGAGAGAGAGTTAATGCGAGAGAGTTATCTGCGAAGTTCATTACTGCGTTCATTTGCAACTTCTATTCAGGCGTACAGAGAGGACAATCGGTAAACGTATTTTTCTCTTCCCTTGTTGATTTCGTTTTATTATTTGATCGATCATTGTTAGGTTTTTGTGCGCTCGTCTTTTCTTGTATTGTTGTGTAATAATTATTGTTTTAGCTTAACTCCGTGTAATGTTCCTTCGATTAGGTGTTTTTTGCTTGTATTTTAGTTTGACGTGTTTGACATCAGATTATTACTCTGCAATAAATCATATTGGAATCACGGTTATACGTGTCTGATGTCAAATTTAGTGCATCGATGTCCTTGTGAGAACTTTGAATTGCGACATCCCTACGTTGTAAAAGCCTGCATTTATATACACACACACATATATATGTATATATATGCAGTTCAGCAAGATAACTTTTCCAGTATTTCAGAACACCGAATCAAATATATTACCGAGCGAACTTTTGATAAAAATGAAAAAAATTGTTAACGAGAAGACGTGACCTTCAAGTAACACCACTGAATAATTCTAAAGAGAAATAAAATGTAAAGTGATTGGCAGAGAATCACTGAAATGGTTCAAGCTGGCTTATAAAATGTGACTTATTGAACACCTTCGATCGAATAAGTGTGGATTATTTAAACGAGTTGCAATTGTCATCAGAATTTGTCCCACTTTCAGCTCAAAACAGTGTTACAATGCAGTGTAAACGTGGCAACATGTAAACCTGACTCATTTTCTGTCAACAAACTGCACTCTAACAGGTCTGTCAGGAATGGTGACCCCTCTCATGAACGGCTCCACATTCTCTGCCTCCAGTGGGTAAGAGATGTCAAACTGCTGCACGATTCTGGCCATCAGCAGATGAAGCTCTAACTCGGCAATACGTCGACCGAGGCACATACGTGTTCCGAATCCAAATGGAAGAGAAGCGAAAGCTTCTGCTGATTCGATCAAAGTGATATCTTTGTTTCGCAACCATCTCTCCGGTTTAAACGCTTCGGCATCTTCAAAAATACTCTCATCTCGCCCCATTTGGTGAACAAGGAACTCAACTTGAGCAGTGCCCCCAGGGATATGGTAGCCCCCTAATATTATGTCTTCTTTCGGTCTTCGCGGGATAGCGGAGAGAACAGGGTATAGGCGGAGGGTCTCTCGTAACCAGGCCTTTAGGTATGGCATACGAGCGAGCGTTTCCGGCGTTGCAAAGGTAGAATTTCCTACCACTGAGAGCACTTCCCGTCGAAGAATCTTCTGTTTCTCAGGATTTCTGGCCAACATGTAAAGAACCCATTGCATCGTGTTGGACGTAGTGTCAACTCCGGCAAACAGAACATCGATTACGCTCGCCAACAGGTCATCCTTCGTCAGCTTTCCGCTGGCCAGGAGGAACTCGAAGAAGCCAGCTCGGTCACGCTCTGTTTCCTTTGATGGCTTGCATGACTTCTCCTCCAGTTCCTTGATTCTTCTCCCGATAAATAGTTCGGCGTAGTCGTACATCGTGTCAAAATTATCAAAAAACTTTTTAAATTTCTGGGTCTCGTAGATCTTGTAAAACCAATTTGGCAAAAAACCGACCTCCACCGCATTCGCCAGAAAATCTCCGACGGCTTTTATGAAGGTCTGTGCCTCTTCATTGATTTCCTCTTCAAGACAACCAAACCTTTTGTCAAACAACACCTCCGCCACAGACTCAAAGGACCATTTGAAAAGTTCATTATCGAGTTCACAAACTTCGTTTTCTTTCTCTGACCCACTAGGCTCTCGAACTGATCGTAATCGGTGAATAAAATCGCCGATAATTTCATTGAAACTCGGAGTATAGTCGGCGACTTCTTTCGGTCGAAGCATTCTTCTACTCAGGACGCTTCGTAGCTTGTACCATTCTTCACCATCGGCAAAGAAAACACCAGGAATTTTCTTCCTTTTTTCCCGGTAGAAATTTAAAGCCGGAAAGTCCAGTCTTTCTGGATATTTGGGATCCGATCGAAGTAACTTTGCAACGTCGGCAGGATCGGATAAACTGATAATTTCGATGCCTGGTAGTTTGTTGCGGAATACTTTCCCATATTTCTTGACATTTTCTGCTTGGATTTCATAAAATCGCTTTCCAAGGGGCTGACCTTTCGTTCCCACGAAGAACGTCCAAGTTGTTCCGAAAACTGGAAGACGGAGCGGACCTGGGATTTCTGAAAAAGGTTTTGTTTTTGGTGCATCTTCGACTGAAATGGGCGAAAGAGAACACATTGATGTCGACGGCAGAAAACCACGGAGACTATGGTTTTGTTTAAGCATGAACAAAATAGTCCGACCAGATGAGACAACGAGAGAGTGATTACTTTTCGTTCCAACAGTAAATGCCATCTCCAATAACTTCAGCTATCCAAACTCCGTAGATCGAAGGAATCATTCGTACTGCTATGGAACCTGGCTTTGTCGCGGTGAAGATCAAATGATTTTGACAGCTAGAGAATGGTCACGCACTCCACAGTGGGGTAGCATAACAAGCCAACACAACTATTCGTCACGTGATCCAAGATTCACCTACACAAGTCACTCAGATAACGACAAAATCAGTCAGATTAAAGTTTTAGCAAACTTGAGCTACACAGCTTGTGCGTATAAATCAGTATAACTGAAAAGCACAAGAAAGGGAAATTTAACTTGGAATTGTCCACCGAATTTTCGAAAATTTGCATAAACCTGAAATAGGTCTTTCGGACAGCCCACTTCTTTTGTTTTCTTTGTTTTCTATGGATAAGCCTATAAATCATTCAGTGTTGAGGTAGATAATGGTTTTATTGGAAACTCTGTGGGAGAAAACGGCTCTTGAATCGATCGACGTAAGAACGCTCGACTTTGACTCACTAGCCTTGTTCTCAGTCCAATGTTTTTTTCTGGTGGTCACCTAACTTTGTGAACGCTGTAGATATTTTTCAGTAACCAGCTGCCGCTTGCTGAGAAGAGAACTAATCTGACTAAGTTTGTGAACGAGGTTATTCATCAGTAATTCTGAGAAACTGTAGTGCTTCGTCGGCGGGAAAGTGGGTCAAAATGAAACGCTTCGGTGGGTATCTAAAGCTGTGTACGCTGCAGCGAATATTTGGAAGCTGAGTCATTTCGAACATGAAACGGATCAGTATGACTTGAAGAGGTTCCCTTGACTGACGATTGTGTTACATGTTACGTCTGTTTTTCGATTAAATAAAGGGATTAAGTTTCTAAAGAAACTGTGGTGCTGCGTCGGTGGGAGAGTATGACAACTGAAGGTAATTCATCAACTGAGCTGATAACATAAATTGGCCACCGTGAAGAGTTTCAAAGCTGACTTTTCGAGCGTTAGCCCTTCGTCAGAGAGAATGACGAATGCTCGAAACTTCTCTGTGAAAAACAACGTCACGTAAAATAAAGGTTCACTTGAGTTCCCTTTCAAAGGCATTGGTGAAACACTCGGGCACCTGAAAAACTTTAGTTAAAATCACGTGGTACATCACAAAGTGTGTGGCACCATATCAGCTATCATTTGAATGGTTTAAGTCACAAGTCAGAGTTCAATTTTAAAAGACCTCAAGTGAAGCGTGATGAGAGAGCCTCATGAAAATATTGCTGGGTAGCTTTCATTTGAAAGGTCACTCTTGGAATGATTGCCTGCAGAGCAGGCGTAATTTTGGCAAGCGAGTGCTCAGTGCTCTTTGAGTCTTACGGCAGAAGGCTGGAACGAGAGGGATGAATAAGAAAACGGATGGGCGGATTTAGAGATTATCTTTCTACGCATTTTGGATTCAGAACGAAATGTTAACGGTTTGCGGTTTTAATCAATATTTTGGGACCTAATTTTGGATTGTGCTTGTGATAAAAACTTCGCAACTTGGATCTCTGCCATCTTTAGAAATGTTTTATTTTGTTCTTATGTATGTGCATCAACGCAGTTTTTTTTGTCACGGACGAGACTCGCCGAATGTCACGCTGTAGGGAAACAGTAATGGCGCTCTATGGTCAGGAAGCTGTGGCATAAAGCCAGTGAACTGCCGCCCCCTACCCTCCAAAAGAAAATCTGGAAGTGGCCCCTTCCCGATTTTCTTTTGGAGGTAGAGGGCGACTTTACATAGGATAGCAACATGTTACCAGCGGAACATTTTGTCTTCGCGCTTTTATCAGCTTGGATTATATAACAATTTTATTACTGGGTCGTGCGTGGTACTATTTTTAAGCTTTTTTACTTTTCAAACAAACCAGCGAGCAGCACTCTGCGAAGCGTTTCGTCTCACTGTCGTAGACTTCTTCAGGGAGTTTTACTGATGAACATTAAAGGCCCGTATTTATAAGCCATAGTTGGCAGTTATTACGTGAAGAACGTTTTAAGCTGAAGGTGAGAAAAAGGTTTGGGAGCCACGGTTTTAAATCTTTACGTCACACTTCTCCAGTTCCTGTTCGTAAATCCGGCTAGGCCTTTACAGTGTTTGACCCACGCATGGCCGCTAACCATGGCTTATAAATACTGGCGTGTAGTGTTTACAAATAAAAATCCCTGGAGAAGTCTACGACAACTAGAAGAAACACGTTGGAGAATAAAACAAGGTTTACAACGACTGTACTACAACTCTTTGACAGCAGAATAAACAGTCCCACATGAAAGGGCTTCTCCGTAGCTTTCATTTAAATGGTCAAACAGCAAAGTGACAGACAAACACAGCGACAGCAGAACCTTAAAAGGTAAAGATAGAGTCGTGCGAAATAATTTACAAACTAGAAAAGGAGTCGGATTCGCTCCTATTCTACTTATCCCCAAAGTTAGCGCTACCTTTCAAGGAAAAACGCACAGCACCGACATCAAAAACAAACGCAATACATTTACAAGAGCACAGAGATAGCAACCGGCAGAAAACTGTCCGAACAAACGAATGAGGTATTTTACATGGATGCATTTAAGGAGATAAATTATTTCACATCCTAATAAATGAAATAACAGAAACGACAAAACTTTGTATTTACAATTTTTCTCCGAAATTTGAAATGTTAATAACACCTAAATACAAGCTAAGACTATCTTGAACTAATCTATATCAAACTAAAAGTTAAGAGCAAAATCCAATTGAGTGTCCAACGTATAAAATCTAGACTACCTTTCCTTTGCTTAAATACCCTCTGCGATTGGTCAAGAAAACTCGCACCATCCTCTCCACCAATCAGATCCAAGGCTAAACACCACTCGCGACTTGGCAACGTAAGTTTTCCCGCGCTTTCCTCTGATTGGTTGTTTTACTTTGAGATCCCACTGGCTCCTTTCAGAAATTTCAATTTGTTCTCATCGTTCGTTGAGATTACAAGGCCAATTCTTTGATCTTGCATTGGCGACATTCAATTGAAAAGCGCTCTTACAAAGCTTGCTAAAACTAACACCCTAACTAATATTAGAAACATTTTTTAAGACTGTTTCCTCGGCTAAGAATAATATGTACAAAGTAAAACTAAGGTCTTTTACTAACTAGGATCTCTTATATTCAGCTCCAAACTTTTTCATATAGTTCTTAATGTACTCTTTTGTTTTGATTTTGACAGAGTCATTGCACTGCAATGAGTCATCTTCTTTTAAGTGGCTCATCTCCTTATTCAGGATTCCGTGCGTTAACTGCGGAAGAAAAGAACGTTCCTCAGCATAGTTAATTTCAGAAAGAAGACACTTGAAATAAAATTTATCTGACCATCCCTAAGGCTCTGTAGTATTCGAGCGATTCCCCCCTTTTCTGTAGCCCCCCCCCCCTTTAATACTCTGTTCGCGGCGACTGATAGAACCACCTTGTTGAGCAAATTAAAACATTACCATGCGAGCAACAATTTTCAGTATTTTTCATTTGGACGCTATAAACCAGAGTTTCATCCACAGACTTGCAAAATTGGATCTAATTCACTTTGTAAATACCACCGACTCAAGTAACGCTGACTTGCTTTCAACAAAATAAATTAAGAATTAAAAGGTTCAGCGAGAGAAACACACACCTTCCTTGCCAAATACTTGAAATCGTCAGTATTCAGGATCCTGCCTGATTTACAGTCAACTTTGAAGAAAGGATTTAGGCAGTTAACGACCACATTAGAAAGCTGCGGAGAGAAATATTGAAAACGAAAATACACCAGTTAGTAAACAGATATACAGTACATCCGAAACAATGCTAGAATTTACCTGAGTGAGCAAAACAACAGGAATAATATGGTTCTGAAACCGATAAAAACTGCGTGACATATTGAGAAAGAGGCCATGGCGTAACACTGGCCTCACAGGCTCTGGGAAGGTAACGTCACCACTGAGACGGACTCAACTGACCTTCATTCTAAAAAGCTCTCTGTTCTTGCTCTGGTGTGACGAGGAGCTGCTTGAGGTACCATCTCTCAGCAAGTGATCCCCCCTCCTGTGTGCAGTGGTATCTGCTGGAGCTGTGGTATAGGTAAGCGTCGGGCTTTCAGGGGGGGTCTCCGGAGGTGTTGTAGGAGCCTTTGCTAATTTCTTTATTTTTGGTTTTGGTGGTGAATCCTGGAGGAATAACAAGAAGAGTTGACTTCAGATTTCATTCTGAGTGGACAAGGAAGTAGTTGCCACAATCAAGCTGCTGGTTTGCCTTACCTCGTCCATATCAACGTAGCTGTGAGCAGGAATACTTGTATGATCAGGTTCTGGGACAACATAAGGGTGTTCTTCCTCTGATGAAGGGCTGCTGTCCCAGCTTGGAACATCCCACTGGGTTTTCCTACGAAAAGAAAGAAAGTTTAATATGAGGATCACTGAGTTAGGGGGGGGGGGGGGGGGAAGGGGAAACAACATAAACCCACTCTCATTGCGTTAGTAAAAACTTCATATATTGGAATTTCGTAGGAAATTTTCTAAAGGACAGGTTCAATTTTTTTTTTCGTAGACGCTGTTGGGCGATAGTCGCCAGGAATAAAATTATGGTCGAAAAAGAAAATATAAGAAAACAAGACATGGAAGAAGACATCTGGAGCACGGCCACTGACCAAGGGCCTGGGACACACTTTTAACTCTCTCATGAAAATCAAACGGCTCTAGCGATGTTACTTGCTGAAGAAAACAACACAATCAGTTTCCAATAGATGATTAACACTTCCAAGACCTAGAAGTAACTAACTCGTCACAGTTATCGTATGACAAAAAACCCAGATACACAACAGTTCATCATTTACCAAGGACTCACAGTGGGCATTGAGCAATAATAAAGTCACATTTCTAACAAACAAGTACGATTCCTCACCTTGTTAGGGCATGATAGTAGTAAACTTTTCCTTGGCTATCGGTGGCTGATTTCCAATGTGGAGGGAGATGCCCCGGTGGTTTGTGTTTCACAGGTGATGGCGTGCACGGTTCTGAATCTGAAGGAAAGCCATCTCTGCATTCAAAGGCATCTGACATCGACGTCGTCACAGCTCCAGTTTGAACAGAGAGCGACCCCAACTCGGGTTGTGGTACACTTTCTGTTGGACCAGTCACCTGCTGCAGAGGCCCTGGTATATTTCCAGCTGAATTCCCCTGTTGAGCGGTCGCGATGTTGAGGTTTGGAGGGGGTGTATTAAACTGAAACTGATTCTGCTGTGGTGGAAAAGCAGCCTGGATGCTTTGAGGAAATTGCTGTTGAATAGGGTTAGGGTTGGAGTGTGAAAACTGTGTTGTTGGTGGAGTCGTAACATTGGCTTGAAAAGGTGGCGGAGGAGGAAGCCGAGTGTAAGAGGGGGTAGGTTGACTGGGTGGAAAGAACTGCGATTGACTACTCTGAAGGGGTGGAGGAGGTACTTGCTGTGGTGGCGGTATAAGCGGATTTGGCTGTAGCTGCTGAGGAATCATTGGATGAGTCTGCGGACGGATATTAGGTGGTGGAACTTTGCGAAAAAATTCCATAGGTGACATATTAGGAGGAGGTACATTAAAGTTTGGTAGTGGTGGAGGTTGTTGAGAGAAATTTCCCACAAAACTTCCAGAAACTATACTTTGTGGCCGTGGTCCTTGATCTTGTCCAACTGCTGGTCCGCTGCTGCAGAAGAATTGGTTTCCCATTTGGAAAGTCGCAGGGGGATTTTGCGACTGACCTCTCCACTGCGTTGCCGCACCTTGCTGAGGTCTTAAGTTTGCTTGAGGATTCACGTTAAAGTTCCCAGGGTTTTTATCTACCAATCCTTGAGGATTTCTTCCCTGTTGCTGAAAAAAGTTCTGCAATTGATTCCATTTTTTCTTTTTCTTTTTGCTGCGGCCGGGTTTATGTTGGAAAGAGCCCATCCCATGCTCCACACTGACGCTCATGCGCTGTTGATAACCGAATGTCTGCATCATGTTCTGTGATTTCGAATCTTGTTTCTGAGTAACTTCAACAGAATCCGACACCCGTGAACTTGAATGAGTTCCTTCTCCTTTATCAGGAGTTGAATCCGCTTGGGTATCCACGTCTTCTCCGAATTCCAAAGCACTGAAGTCACCAGTTTTTGACGGAGGGGTAGCACTCGAAGAGTCTTGCGGCATCTCAGTGTCTTCACTACAGGTAGAGAATCCCTGAGAAACAGGCGGAGTTCTGGATTCAGATGGATAGAGGGGTTTGGGGGAGTCCTGTAAACTCTTCATGATGGCATCTAATTTTCCTGGAGAACCGATGTTCTCAATGGGAGTCCTACAGAAATACAATCATAGATCAGATCAGAGATTCAAAGACCATTAACAGAGTAACTTTTAATTGAGTCTCCAAAGTAATATGGGATTGTACTGGTTTTACTCTACTCTGCTCTATGATTGGTCCGAAAAACTCGCGTCACTCTCTCGACCAATCAGATGCAAAACTACAATCAATCACGACTTGGTCGCCCGCATTTTCCTGCCCTTTGGGCGGTTTGCTTGTTTTTACTCTGAGTTTTCATTGGCTCTTCAGGGTATTTTCCTTTCTTCTTTCCATAATAATTACTTTGGTTTTGTTTTGAGGCACTCGATCGAAAAGCGCTCTAGGAATGGTAACCCTTACTTTCCCAGACGATATAAAAATTCATCTTCTCAACGTAGAAATTCTTCAAACCTGTACTTTTTAGTGATATATGTTCTCTTATTAAATTTGTTGTCTCACCTTGCATGATCACCGTCACCACTTCCTATAAAAAAAACATCAAATTAATCACTTTTTAACAATCAATTTTTCCAAATTATGATGATCCTCATGGGAAGTTAAGTTCTTTCTTTGTCCCGCCCCCGTGAAACAACAAATGAAATCTGAAAAAAACTTTGTCGCACACATGGTTTACACAAAATCCACTCTCTGATGAAAATGCGTAACTATATCAGGGTTCCATGGTCAAAAAACTGATCAATCACGCAATAAACAAGATCATGTAAAACAGAGTTTACCTACCTGCTGGGCTAGCTGCGACTAACAACTCAGCAACACGGTCTTGCTTGGCCTGAACAAAGAGAATCAGACGATCATGCAATTGAATGTCAAACAAACAACAACAACATTTAAGACCATCTACTAAATTGCAAAAGTTAAAAGCAGCAAAATGGAATTTGATACCAACACTCTGGCTAACTAAGAATACACCCTTTTTTTCAGCAAGAGAGTTTCACCCTCTCCTTTTGCATCAACGATCGGCTTAAAAAAAAAAAAAGGTAAAGCGAAGACAAACTACAAAATAAATAAATAAATAAATAAAACACAGAGAGGAAAAATGCCCACTGTTTCGAGTGTCACTTTAAGAATACTTACTGGAGTTGCAGTTTTCTTCGGTATTCGGTAAACTTCCTACAAACAAAAACAAGGCAAAAAATGCCCCAGTTTTAACGCGTTAGACTCTGGTTCAAGGGTCTGAGGTAAAGCTCTAGTTTGTTGAGTCGAGTTCGAACGATTTACAAACAACCACACCAGCTTGTAACTCACGGTGTTTTAAAAACGTATAACCTTTCTGGTAAAACGCAAAACAGAGTAGAAAATCAACAGGGTACCCGTACTTGAATAAGCTTTGTGTTTGAAAATTCTCTCGGTTTCCTTTTCCCTGTCTTCGTATCCTTGTACAAATTTCTATGAACGTTCCAATTTGCTCTCGCTTACCCTTTTAGGCTACAGACACGAAACCTTAATGGGCTATCGTGCTTTAAGATATCCTTTTTCCCTCGAGTATCTGGTTGTTGTTAATTTAGATGTGTTAAATGAGAGACAAAGAAAGTTGTTACTTAGGAAATGAAGCCAAAGACTCCACTTAAATGGAATTAAAATCACCCCGCCTCCCCTCCCTCAACAAACTATTACACATAAACATATCTTGTTCTGACAAGTATCTGGTTGGCAAAATGGCATCACCTTCAGTGAACTCCATGACTTCAACAGCTCATTCGCCTTTAGTCCGATGCCGCTTTCAGGCAATCGCTCGTCCTCAGATCTGAGGTCGTCCTCTGAAAGGTCATCAGGGGATTTCTCAAAGTTCTCTGGCAGCAGTTTGTTCTTTATAGTCCTGCTATCTACAGTCTTGTCGACAATAAAACTGGCCACTTCTGCATCCAAAGATTCATCATCTGATTGGTCCTTGATAGAGCTTTGCCGTTCAAATAGCACAAGGCTACCAATAGCTTTCTTATCTCCATCAATGGATTTTGGTAATTGCTGGTTTTCGTCATCATTATCTTCTGTTCCTGCCGTACATTCTGAATCTGCCGGACTGTTACCATGTGACTCCTGTCCACTGCTGGACCCCGCTTCGACAGTCGGACAGAATGACGACGCCCATTTTCTCACCACCTTTATTACCTTGCTATCTTCAAGTTGGTTCTTTGTTGCTATAGGAAGGCATTTCAATGTCTCTAGCAACTAGAAATCACAATATTTGAAGATAACAGTTAATTTCTTGCTTGTATAATAATGATAATGTTGAACTCTAGTTATTGAGGGTGCATAGAACAGTGTAAACTGATAAACTGATAGCTCTCAACAAAAAATGTATACAAAAAACATCGGCAAAACAGTTCATATTGTATAACACTATTTATGAGATAAATATATAATCACTGGCAAAAAACCCTAACTCCATAAATACTCTTCAGGAATACCATTCCACAATTTTGCCCTTGTGCCTTCCCCCTTCAGTCTCTCTTCAAAATTTCCGACAAACCAAACATCATTGTACATGTACATTGTGCATGTTGATAGTTGAAAAACTAACAAATCCTTAACATGCATACAATTCTTGCTACACTGCTGTAGCAAATTTACTTTCTTGTTGAACATTCTCCGCAATGATCATTCCTGTAATTCTCCTGAGCTACTATATAACTCTGCTAGGAGAGAGTACACATTGACCATCACCTCTAACTGAAGTTTCATTTTCTTTCCTCCACCGTCCACCATCCAGCTCCAAAGTAGAGAAAGCCCCTGATACCTGAGGAACCCTTTTAAACATGACTGGTCTGTGGTGTGCTATAAAAACATCACAAAAAACAATCAAACAAACTTGTAGACAAAGAGCACATTTTAAGCAATTAAAAAACCACATTTATATGCTACAGAATGTTATGACTGTAACTCTTCATCTGTATATAGCTGTTTTCAAGAAAGGTTGTTGGAAAAAGGAAAAATTACACAAACAAACTTGTTGGTCATCTGGGGTTTGGTGATTAATGAATTTTAATAAGTCAAAAAAATAAATACATTCATCAAACCCACCATGCCTCTTCCTTACAGGGATGCTTTCTCAGATTTGCTACTGTAAAGTCCTGAGGTCTAGCGACAGTGACCTGGAAACTACCCACAATACTTTTTGTGGTTGTCTTGTACTCTTAAATGCTTTTTCCAACAACTTTTCTCAAAACAGCAGTATATGAAAGAGAAGGACTCCCCTTTCAAACCAACAACCATCCTCATTCTTCCCCCTCCTTCCATCCCATGGTCATTGTTGGGATCTTCTGTTCTAGCAGCAGAGTTTGAATTGGGAGATTTCCTAACTTTGCCTGTTTATACAAACTTTTATTTAATCCATACATGGATATTTTGAGTGAGTCCATACACAAAGAATAAAAATTGACACATGCTACTCTATATCAAGTTTTTTATTTGAATAAAAGCACTTGTTTTCAGCAAGATTTAATTCTGCCAGCCTTCTTTGAGAGGGATTGTCCAAGACACACATGGAACTGGTTATCAAATACCTGAAGGATTTTCAGAAGCATTATCCTCTGTTCCATAGTCTCTGCCCGCACCATCAATCTGGACAGCCTCAATGCCTGGTCACTGTGTACCAACCCTCTGTGATCACCTAGAAGTTTCTCAACCTCATCTTCCAACTTAAAACAAAATTAGAGAATAATGTCTTTTGGTGAAAAAATTTATTGTAATAACAGCTTTGTGAAACAAAAAAAGTGCCTCAAAGTTCAGTTGCAAATTCACATCATAGACATCAACTTGCAGTCTGGTAGGTGAAATAATATTGAATTTCATCAATCATTGTGTTAGACGATGTTTACCAAAACTAACTCAAATTTGAGAAAAGTTGTGACACATTTTTGAGTCAAAGGGAATTCCCCTTCACTTCCAAGTGGATATTTACTAATAAAACTCTGTATCCTACCACAGAAAACATACATGCAAATGAGCAATCTCATCAGGGACAAGCTAAAGAACAGGCCATGGTTGTTGGGAGAGTGCATAACACTATCCACTGAAGAAGTCTTTATCCAGTGGATGGCACAGTAAATTGGATAGCATTTTACAACTGAACCCTGCTGGATAGCCTTGTCTACCTGTTAAACCACCACGCTCAGAGTGATAGACTATACAACAGCTTCATTGTTACATTGCAACAAAAGTACAAATCATTATAATTTGTTCTTCATCTCACCGTCATATCATCAAATTCATTTGACAAATTCCTTGTTTGCTTTTTACGTCTCCTCCTTGGTGAGCTTGTGATAGGTGGGGTTGCTTACATGGAGAAAGAAAAGAAAAGCATGAATTACACCTAGATTGTGTGACCTTATACCTCTACAGTCTAGTATCAGTATGCAGATTCTCTGTACTGTTCTCTATACATTTTGTAAGGTGCTGACAAGGAGAATTTGTTTAACAATCAAGAGCTTCTTAAACAGGTAATCATTTTATTCATTCTAGTGACCTTAACCATTCAACTCCCAAGATCTGATTGTTAACTCTCCCCTCTAGCTGCTAAACATTTCCTAGTAATTTAGTTAAAAGAATTTGATGTTAGATTGAGATAAAAACTTAAACCTGATAAGTTTGAGTATTCTCATTATTGGTTTATTGGATAGTGTATGAATATTAAAGGGAGAAGTTATATTTCAATACTTCTGGGAGTTAACGTGTTAATGTGTGACTCAGGGGGGATATCTCAGGGAGAAAGTAAATCCTGGTCACTCTCAGGGTTGTAATTAAAAATCTTTTTGCATACTTATTCTTTCCACTGTGTTCTTCAGAGGTGTTTGCTTGTCTCCTCCGATAAATCCACGACAATTTGGTGCTTCACAATGGCAAATCTGAGCAACTTTCCTGATTAATGACAAAAATTATATCTAAGAATTTTTGGTAAGCTTCTCCTTCCCAGTTCAAAGGGATCTTCTTTCTGTGTGACTGCTGTACAGTTCCTCACATTTTAAAATCTCTCAGTTTAATGTCACCCACAGACATGAAGCTTTGACAGTAGCATGTACATTGTCCACCTACCCATAGCGCTGCAGTTTGTAATCAAACGTGAGCTCTGCACCAGCTGGGATGGGTCTCTGAGTAAAAAATCCAATCCTCAACAAGCCATGGACAGTCCACTGCAAGAAGTAAAAGAACAAAAACCATTCAGTTCTTATCTTAACCCTTTACACCCAAACATCAGTATGTCCTCTCCATACTGTTCTCTATACAATTCCTAGGAAGCTGACAAGGAGAATTTGTTCAACAATCAAGAACTTCTTCAGTTACTGATCATTTCCTTTATTCTCAAGACCTACAGGTTTGATTCAGGAGTAATATTGTGGGGAGAAATTAGGGTATCCAGTCAACTCGCCGACGGACCAACTCGCCGACGTATAAAATCGAGTAGAGACGTCGGCGAGTTGGTCCTCAATCCAATACAACTTATTAGAAGTTAAACATACAGAAAAGTAAATGATATTTAGTAAAAAAAAAAAACACTGGTGAACATTGGTGAACATCAAACAGAAGCTTGAACATTGGTGAACATCACCAATGACTATAACAACTTAAGACGCAAACGAGTTATTGTGCGACAACAACACCGTAAAGACTCATCATGTCAATCGCTCAGATTTTTTAAAGAAAACTTGGCTTTCTAGATCTTTAGTAAAAAGCAATTCTTTCTATTTGCAACAAAGTTTATAAAGATATCAAGGCGAATAAAGCGAAGTAAACATCGCCAATGACTATATCCGCTTCAGACGCGAACGAGATAATTATTGTGTGACAACAACACCGTTTGTGCGTTGACTTTTTACCAACACAGGACGAAATCACATGTTTCCGTATTTCTGAAACGTGGCGGAAACATGCAACTCCATGTTTCCGTTATGTTTAACATGCACAAAAAGTGGTCCGGTTCCGTTGTATACGCAGCAACGGAAACGCGAGAAAACGTCACGAAACCGGTAACGGAAACACAGGTTATCCGTCGTGTTTCCAGAACGGTTTAACATGTTTCTGCCACGTTTCCGTTTACGGATTCTTGCAATTTCGTCCTGTGCAAGCGACTTGACTTAAATAAATAAGACCGATTGACATGAGATCCTTATAAACTTTGTTGCAAATAAAAAGAACTGCTTTTTTCTAAAGATCTTGTCTAGAAAGCCAAGTTTTCTTTAAAAAATCTGAGCGATTGACATGATGAGTCTTTACGGTGTTCGCGTCTAAAGCGGATATAGTCATTGGCGATGTTTACTTTACTTTATTCGCCTTGAGATCCCTTTAAACTTTGTTGCAAATAAAAAGAATTGATTTTTACTAAAGATCTTGTCTAGAAAGCCAAGTTTTCTTAAAAAATCTGACCGATTATCACGATGAGTCTTTACAGTGTTGTTGTCACACAATAACTCGTTCGCGTCTGAAGCAGTTAGAGTCATTGGTGATGTTTACTTCGCTTTATTCGCCTTGAGATCCTTATGAACTTTGTTGCAAACAGAAAGAATTGCTTTTTACTAAAGATCTTGTCTAGAGAGCCAAGTTTTCTTTAAAAAATCTGAGCGATTGACAAGATGAGTCTTTACGGCGTTGTTGTCGCACAATTTATCTCGTTCGCGTCTTAAGCTGTTATAGTCATTGGTGATGTTCACCAATGTTTAAGCTTCTGTCTGATGTTCACCAATGTTCACCAGTGTTTTTTACTAAATATCGTTTACTTTTCTGTATGTTTAACTTCTAATAAGTTGTATTGGATTGACGACCAACTCGCCGACGTCTCTACTCGATTTTATAGGTCGGCGAGTTGGCGTCGGCGAGTTGGTCCGTCGGCGAGTTGACCGTAATTCGAAATTAGATGCTAATCACTCTTAAGGGTTAAAGGATTTAAGTACAGCTGTCGATGTGTTTTCTTTCAGTTTCCTGTCAATCAATCTACTGTAGATTACTTCTAGAAAAAGAAGCGAAAAGCTGGTGTTATTGGTTATGATATAAAATGGTAAAATGGACTAAACAATTTATTAAACTACCTTTTGAGTTTCACAGTTTGAGTCACAGCTGTGGTTGATAAACCGAGACAAGTTCCCCTTGTAGGTGGCATCAATTAGCTGAACAAAGAAGGAATTTGAAAGAAGCTATAACTCAATAAGTAACAAAACCGTACATACTATAATGATTTGTCTACCTACATGTACTGTATTACATTAAATATTTAATATTTTGGCTAAGTAGACGGGCGCTTATTGGAAGGAGGGCACTGAATTAAGGGGAGTGCTTATTACTCTCCTGTACTGATTGCTCTTTGGTTGAGGCAATAGAAACAGGTTTTCCTTTTGTCCCTATTATTTAGGAAAGTGAGGAAGAAGGGGGGGAGGTGCTTCTTTTAAGATGGGTGCTTAAGGCTTGAGGGATGGACATCTATTTGGGAGAGGGTGCTTATCAGAGCTTGGGCTCTGATTCAAGGAATAAGCATATATCAAAATTTAATTTCCCACAATGGATGATTTCAACATCACTTATTCAGGCTAAAAGCTAGATGTAAGTCACATATGAATCTAGTTAACAACTTGGCTGGCTATGGAGTTCCTTGTAGCTCAGTTGAGAAAGAATTTGAAAATGATAACAGGCTGGAGATCATACCATTAACCTGACTGGAGTTCATGCCATTTAAATACATTCTTTGTCCACATAGTTGACAATTGAGTAACAATTAAGCAGGGTTTTAGATAAGAATCCCAGAAAGCAGCAAGGGGGAGTGACTAAGGAGAGAGGGGATACCTCCTGACATGTGCACAACCACTTGAAGGGATCTAGGGGTACACCAACCCTCCTCCCACCCCTCCCTCCATAAAAATGGTAAAACTTGGGTCTCAGAGAATGCATTTGTGCACTTTGAAGTAATAATCAGGTCATTTCAGTGAAACTAATCATTGCCATTTCATTCAGCAAAAGGAGCAAAATCATGTGAAGTAGCTTAACAGACCTCCAGCTCTTCTTGAAAATCCTGCTCACTTTTACTAAGATGTCATTACTGTTGGGTATAATGATCTACTGAAAAGCCTTAAGATGACCAAAGAATTTACCAGCACTCATCACATCATCACAGCAGTGCTGTTATTGTCTCTACTTAAAAAAAAAAAAAAAAGGTTAAGATTTCCAATCCTTACCTCATCAGCTCTCAATGTCATGAAGTAGTAGTGTCTTCTGTTTTCTCTATCATAACGCTCTGCTCTTTCCTGGAAATCTTTGTAGTTCATGACTTCTCCACAGTACTCCATAACAAACTGATTCCTGAACAACAGTTACAACTTTTAATTGAGTGACAAAAGTAATTGGGTATTGTTTTTGGTTTTTTGCTATACTCTGCTCTGTGATTCTGTCCCCCCCCAAAAAAAGGAAGGTGAAAACACGAAATTAAAGACCTGCAAAATTAAGTACAAATAAGGCATTTCCTTCCTGAAGATATAAGTAAAATATAAACTTACGATTCCAGATCTTCAAGAGTTCTCAATCCCCAGCCTTTCTTCTCTGTTTTAAACACTTCAACTTTCACTTTACAGCCCTGCAAAAAGTGTTGTACATGTACGTGAATTTGAAATCCTCTCATGGTTGATAACAGCATATAAGATGTAACTTCTTCCTATAATATCCATATATCATCCAGCATCTAGTAAGGAGAATACTCATACTTATCAGGTAGAATTTGTTAAATTGATCAAACACCAAATTCTCACAACTACTTTAGAACGAAATGTGTAGCCAATCAGATCTTGGGAGTTAAAGGGTTAAAATACCCATTATCTTTGTTGGCTGCTTTGTTGGGCTAATTGCAACCAATCACTCTTTATTTAGTACTAATTACATTCAAGGAGGCACACAAGCCTAGTTTGTATTGCCAAGATCTTTTAAAACTCAGATCTAATTAGTTCAGCCACAAAATTCCTTTATGGTCAAATAAGCTGAATCAGACTTAGATGAAATGAAATCTGCCTAATGAACAGATGACAAACTTCACTCTACCAAGCTCTACAAAAGGATAATTCTCTTAATTACTATTAGATATAAATATCGATTCTCCCAGCTGTTTGCAATGCAGTTTACATAATTAACGCTTCAAGAATTTGGCAATAAATCAAACAATATCCTTTCATTGAGATTTTTCTTTCTCCTTGTGACCTTGATGTTTGAGAATGTACTGATATGGCAAAGAGAAATTCTTCTTTGGTCACTCTAAGGATTGAAAGGGTTAAAGAGGCAGTTGCTTCAACAGCTAACCCTTACCATTTCAGGAACATCAATCTTAATGCTGTAATGATAGTTTCACTAACCTGTTGAAAACGTTTATTGCTACACATCTCTCCGCAAGCACACCTGCTGTTACTATTTGGAGATCAACGAAAGACAAAGTGAGAAGGAAGACTTTTAGCAAAATTAACCAACAAGAGAGGAGAAGAATACCAACCATTCTATCATCAACAATCTGTTAAGACAGTCCTCGCCACAACCATTGGAAAATGGATCATCTGTTAAAAAAAATATATCAATATGTTCAACAACAAAAAAATCATGTTTCCATCCATCTGTTCAGTAAAAATTGGATCAATGTCAGTATCTGATCAACTGAGCACCTACCCCTCCCCTAACCCAACATTAATCCTAACTTGTTATCAGTTGACTGTGGTTGAATTAGGGGAGGAGTACCGTAATTTCCGGTCGATTACCCGCACGGCCGATTACCCGCACCGGCCGATTATTGCATACGGCGAAAAAAAAAGTCAACGGATTACCCGCACCGGTGGATAACCCGCACGTTGTTATTCAACTTTTTCGGTGGCGAAAACGTGACATTAAGGCGATACATTTCAGTCTTTCGATTCGGACATGTGCACAATTCTGTGTCAATATTAGCTTATACTTTATTGATTGATTGTTGCTGCTGCTCTATTACCGATTTCATCGGCAAGAGTTATTACTCTAAGCTTATAATCAAACGTAAAACTGTGACGTGGGCGTTTCACAGCAGGCATTTTAACTTAATTGGTGACTCGTGGATACACTTATCGCGAATGATCGAGGTTTATAATTCTTATTCAGTCAGTTACCTTTTTATAGCATGTAGGAGCGTAATGAGCAATATCCATTGTTCATTTGTCGTTAAAATACTTTTTCAGCGCGAAATTAGTTAAGTTTCGCAATTATTTTCAACATTCTGGTGATGCATTTGGGATTTAAAATTACTGTCGGCAATTTCTCAAAAAAATCGATATCTCCTGTTCTACTGGGCCTAACAAGTCCCTTAAAACGGGAAAATTCTCTTTAGCTCAAGCTAGTGAAAACTGGAAATTTGTTACTGATGCGCCGGATATCCTTGGATTATTTTTGTCACCATCAAGGTTTTGTTTTCAAGCGTGCCGATAAAAATTTGTTTGTCACGCAACTAATTATGCGTGAAATAAACTCGAGTTGGCATCATGTTTTCGTGCCGCTTTGTGGCACTTTTGATACAATAAAATTCATTTGAGAGGTGGAAACGCAGGTAGGTGAGAAATTTTTTCAATTCAACTTCCAGAAGAATTTAAAATTGTCACATAACCCGCACCTCCCTATTACCCGCAGTGGCGCGGATTTAATGCAAAATCAACAGATTACCCGCGGGTAATCGACCGGAAATTACGGTAGGTGTGCAGTTGTTCAGATACTGACATTGATCCAGGAGACCACAGATGATGTTGAAATGTGGTAAGAACAAGACAAAGTAGTACACAAGGCACAGCTGAGTGTGACACTGATGCTCCTACCTTAAAATAAATAAGTAATCTATTTGTTTTATATCATACAAAGGTATAGGGCAGGTCATGCTCAGCTTATCTCATAAAATGTGATTAAGAAGACCTTAACAGTGGGTTGCTAAGTTCATGTAAAATGCCCATAACCATATTCAGCATATAGTGAAGTCTATGCATCAAAGCCATTAACTTACCAGAATCTAAGGTACAATCGCACTGCATTCTGCGTACTTCCTTGTTGACTTTCTTCTTTCTGAAACATGAAATGAAAAACGTGTTGCCCTGATAACAGTAACAAGTTGTTTGAAGGGTAGAAAACTCAACTCTTTTACATTATGATATAATTGCACACTGCAATCAGTAATTAAACATGAAACCCACCTGTCAAATAAGTACTCATTCTCTTCAATATGCTCATAGTAAGGTGGTTGACATTCTTCCGTTGAAGAAATGACATGCTCCCCAGACACCTGGGAAAGTAACAGTATTCATAGGTATTTTCAGGTACTTTTAATGTTAGCCTGTTCACTCTCAAGATCTTATTAAAAATTCTCCTTACTGTCTGCCATACAGTTCTTGTGATATTAGTTTGGAGAATTTGGTATAATCCCCTAGTTGGTATTTTTCTTTATTCTCATCACTTGTCTGCTTAATATTGTATTGATATTGTCAGGAGAAGTTCTGTCTCAGTCACTGATGGGAGTTTAGGGGTTAAAAGTGGAAAAATTTCAGGAAAACCCATGGACTTCAAGACATATTGTAACTATTTAGAGCTTCCCACACCAGATAAAGTGACAGGTTAACAATTTGCAAATAGATTCCAGGATGCCATGCGTCTGATCAGTAACCAATCAGAGATGACGTCAAAATGTGGTAAAAAAAAAAGAAAAGCCAAGTGCATCACCACATCTTTATGTTTTCTGTGACCTATTCATAAACAGATTCATGGCAACATGGAATCTATTTGTCTCTTATAGTAGAATTAATGATAATGTTATTTATGCATCTCTCCTTCAATCAATTATCAATAAGGACTAATCAAAATGCATGCATGATTCAGCTCATTATATAAGTTACCACGACACTAGTGACCAGGCAGAAACAATAAAAAATTATACTCACATCTTCATCACTGTCAGACCTGGAAGAAAAAAAAACATTTTAAAATGTTACCAACATATGTCACCACCATTTTAACCCTTTCACTCCCAAGATCTGATCATTAAATCTCTCCTCAAGCTGCTACACATTTCCTTTTAAATTAGTTATGAGAATTTGGTGCTAGATCAAGATAGCAGCCTCTACCAGAAAAGTTTGAATATTCTCATTACCCGTTTGCTGAATAATGTATGGATATTATAAGGAGAAATTTCATGTTAATCATTTCTGGTAGTTAAAGGGTTAAGTAGATCAAACTGGAATTAATAACTTTAATTATATGGGAAAGGTATTCATACCTTCTAGAACAACACAACTGAACTAAATGCATTTGTATTCAGGCAAGACAAACTCAATGCATTTGTATCCAGACATGACCAACTAATGCATTTGCATCCTGACATGACAAACTCAATTGATGCATTTGTATCCAGACATGACATACTAAATGCAATTGTATGCAGACATGACAAAGTAATGCATTTGTATCTACACATAACAGCTTACACATGTACCAAGCCCATAACATTTTGCAACAAGAATTAACAAACAAAAGCAAGGGAAACAATTTACTTCTAGGTACCTTAGTTTTGGGGGTGTATCAAAGTTTTTCCTCTGACCTTTTTCTTACAGCTTTGTAATTGTGTATCAAGAACACATACACTCTCAAATTACATGCAGCCCTTTGGACACTTGATTTAATTTAAGGTAATTGGGTGAGGTGGCCAGTTTGCTAAGAAAGACTCAAAATGGCAGCATCCAAGGGTAAAATCTGTGTCACATTTAAGGACGTCACAGTTTAAGAATCGCAAAAGACAGGCAGTATTATTATTTCATGTTAACTTATTACTGGCAGAGATATCATTGCAAGGTTTTGTAGCATACTCATCCTCTGAGACTTGCTAAGCAGAAAATGTTTTAAGGATTTTCTGAGAAACTGATGTTATTTTTCTCTGAATTGTAGAGAAAACCATCCCCACCCCCACCCCCACCCTTGTGAAGATTTGCCAGCATTTTACAACAGCAGACATGATCAGTAAATTGATAATAAAAATGTTTGTGTATCATGACTAAATACTGTTGTATTAATTAAAATTGAGTTTCAGATTGAAATTTCAATGCATAGCATTTGCAATCCGATCCAGCTTCAATTAAATAAATCTGCCCAAGTGCTACATCCCCCACAACCACTGAAGATTTCACAATCTCCTTTGCAACGTAACGATGGCAGATGCGCAAGTTCGTTCTGTTTAAACGAATTAACACTTTGTTTGTTTGTTCACGTGTGGTTGAAAATAAACCTCAAAACGTGTTTGTCAGACGGTTCGCTTAAAAATCAGAGGGTACGGAAATTCTATGGTCAGATTTAAAGGCCAACTTTGGTTAGCTCCTTCCTTCCGCTCCGCCAATTAGTTATACTTTGTCGTCTCGACGGTCGAAGTGAGCTGCAAGATTGATTTTCTCCGTTTAAAATCATACATAAAATATTTTAAAGCTTTGTAAAGGGGAATAACTAGTAATTCAGTGTATCTGTAGTCTTTAAAGCCACTTTCGCGAAAGGACATGCAAATAAGTAGACAGGACTCGTGGGATTTAAAACGGGGTCAAGGCGGACTTCACTGTAGACTCCCTCAGGGAAATCAACCCAAATTGCAACCTGCCACAGAATAAAACTTGCTATAAAACTACACAATAACTCACGATTTCATCACATTAATACCTGAAAAAATCACAGATCGATTTAAATTTTCATTTATCGCAGATGTGTATACAGAATCCAAAACACGCTATCGAGCCATTACACTCTCTATGTAAGCCTATACACCATAATAGTTAAAAAGCTTTGCGATTTTTCACTCAAAGAAGACTTAAACTTTGTCGTTGATAATTTTTTCTAACTCGTTTACTTACCCACTGTCATCTGTATGACCAGAATTATCCGATCTTTCCTCAGTAGTCATGTCTCGCGAATATTTCTAAAATTCAACCCCGAAATAGAAATGAAAGGCGATAAAATGTGCTTTGCAAACAATGCAAGCTAAGTGTGACGGTCCTGCAAAGTGAATGTTTTCTCCACGATCTTTTCCTCGGCGTCGACAAATTTTCCACAATATCTAAATTATTTGATTCTTTTCTCCTTTCTACAACGGAACAGCAACGCCACACTCAAATCCATTACGAATAACGGCCTACACATATGCAGTAACATCAGCAAATCTATCGCCTTTCGCATCCAACGCTCGCGGTAGAGCGACCGAGTGTTGGTACATCCGGGAAACTGACGGACTGCCACGTGTTCCAATTGGTCTGTCCCGCTAGTAAACTTTGGGAGACTTTCAGCTTTGATCAGTATACAAATATTACTTGATTTCCTATTTTCCCATAGTATTGCGACAAAAACTATCAATCTTACCCAAACGCCACTTTCTATGCGTCGGTGGTAAATTTTCAACTATTTTTTCATCTGAGCTTGATTGTGGCGACCGAATGAGAGTTGTCACATCACAGCGAATTCTCCATAGTTTGTGTGGAAAATGCGCGGGATGAGATTTGTGCTTGCCTCACTGAACAAAACAAGTGTGTTAGCCTTTCTGCAGTGTTCGGAAGCGTGATAAATTATTCACAAGGGATTGCCACTCAGGTAGAGGTTGGCGAGGGTAAACAACGTAGGCTATCGGAAGGCCACCCGTCATCATCAATGGTATAATTTTCTCAAAGAAGGCATAAATTGCCTTTAACGCGAATTTCATAACGGCTACCTAGAGAAAATCGGGGCAAACCCACACACGTATCTAGCAATGAGTGGATATCTGGGAGACCTCTCTGCTTCTCAACAAAAGAGCCTTGAGGAATTTAAAGGAATGTTAACAACAGAGACCATTAGTGATGAGGTAAGGTAAACTATGACCGGTAGGGATCGAGATCCCAATGTAATCTTGGATCCGTTTATTACCACTGCTGTACCTAGGCGCGATAAGTTTTTTTTTCACGTGTGAATGCTAACAAAGCTATTTCGTGTGGAGCTGTTGGCTAATAAATTGTTTGGAGGCTAACATCCGATCGTTCCTGGATGTTTACGTCGGGATGCGATGTAATAAAAGTTAAATTAGCTCTGAGCTTATATTTACGATTCGTTGTTAAAACCCTGAAAAGTAAAATGATTTTGTAATAAATGACGTGGAAATGAGCTGTTGAAATAAGCAAAATTTCCGCTTTGTGCCCATTCTTTGTCGCAAAGCTGTGTCACTAGGTATGCTTTTTCAAGGTCGATGAAAATTACTCTGGAGAACTCAGCTTCCCAAGCAAGAAATTACTGAATGTATTAATCAACGAATATTAATGACCAACTTCATACGATCGATGTTTACATGACCGTTCAGTCCCTGGAGCTCGATATCACCCCTCACGATAAATGCAGTATATTTATAGATCACCTGCACGTTGGCACGTCATTTTCACAATCCTCTCTTTGCAATAATACAACGTGTGGATTACGTCTGGTGCATGTATTACGTGATATTTTTTGTGTCGATGCTGACGGAAAGTAAACATAGAATTAGGAATGCATCTCTCCGATGTTTTAGCAACTATTATAAAATCTTTCGTTTTTCAAAGGTTTTATCGCATTATGCATGAATTTATAACTTGCTTCACAATTAGCTATTATAATATTAATTGTAAATATATTAGACAAAGCGAAAGGACCTGTTCGCGAAAAAATATATTATTTAATTGTTTTTTTGAATTGTTTGTTGTTTGATTGTAACGTTCAGCTTTTCTTTGTGGAGATATATATGTTATTGCCTCAAAAGTGGGAAAATTATAAATATATTTTATGAAAAATTTGATCTGATTTTTAGTAGTTAGAAAATATTGACAAAATCATCTTTTTTTTCTTATTAAGGTTGTGTAATTTTCAGCAGTTTCTTTGAGATAAATGTTTAACTTGCCTGGCTTTATGAAATTATGCAAACTTGGAATATTCATAATTTAAATAAGAGAGGCTCTTTTACAAAACGTTTGTGACGGTTATTGTTTGAAAGTGTAAATTATGAAATTTTCTGGTATCAGAGCATGCACAAATTATTTCAGCAGAACAACACCTGTCTGTCAAGTTGGGTTAATCTCTTCTCTCAAATCTGAAAGGGTGTAAGTTGGTTTGTAGTTAGTGCTTTGCTATTGATACTGCTATATTTAAAAAGCAAGAACAAAGAAGGCCAGAAATCTTTTCATCATAATGAAGTCAGTTTGTGCTTATAATTAGTATTATGTTCTATTGTTTAGGATGTTCAAAAGGTTTCCAATTTCAAGGATAATTATTAGAAATTCACAACTGTTAATTAGCTGGGTTTAGTTTATGTTGATTCTGATGAATTTTGGAAATTTTTTTGCATAGAATTTCAAGTTACCTTACCTTGGAGAATAATCTTCTTAATCATTACATTGTGGTCACACTTTTTGCTCAGAATTTTTTCACAAATACACTAAACAAAACTACTTATTTCCAAACTTTTTGTCAACTTTCCAATGCTATGGAATGATTTTTGGCATTTATTTAAAAAAAAAAAAACAATGATAATTTCCTAGCAAAATCTTTACAACTTTACATGCACTTTATTTTTATATTCCCTAAACTACAAAAGGCTGATCATTTTTGAAAGTGTGTTCCTTCACGGTATAAAAGATGTTTTATCTCATTGTAAAACTTAAACTGTCATCTGCAAAGCTAGAAAACTTGCTGGCCATTTCCTAATGTGTTTTTTTTGTAAGTTTTGTTGTGTGTAATTTTTAAGATTATCTGCATATCAAGGCCAGCAAGGATATAAAATCTGGTCTTATTCTTCTCAATTTCCTAATGTTAACCCTTTACAGCTTAACATCAATGTGTACATTCTCCTTGCTATTCTTTATGCATTTCCTGAGGTGTTGTTGAGGAGAATGTGTTTCACAATCAAGAGCTTTTTTAATTGGTGATTGTTTCCTACATTCTCCTGATCCTGATGTATGATTTAGGGATGATACTGTGAGGAGAAATTAGATGCTAATCACTTCCAGGGATCATAGGTATAACAGGAATCTGATACATTTGTTTTAGGCAACTCTACTGAGATTTTTACGGGCACGCAGTTTTGACACGAAGGCTGCTTACAAGTAAGACATTCTCTTAATTTACAGTTACTTTGTATAGTTCAACACAAATATAAGTTGATAGTCCCTTGAAACATACATGTATTTGATTGATAATTGAGGATTGAGGTTTGTGGCAAGTGTTGAGATGTTCAAAGCTGTTCAAGAATGACTGTGGAGAAATTTTTTGGTAGAGACAACAGAAAACTTTTAATTGGGTTAATTTTTTGACACAGCTGAATTTTCTTCACATTCAAACTGAGTGAAATCCTTAGTTCTGAATTTTTGTAAAGTAATATTATTGTGCATTGTAATGCAAGTGTTCTCCCACTCCCAATTTTTTGGTAGCCAGTACATACGGACCCGGGAGTGGCGTGTTAACAATGATATAGATCATGTCCTCGAACGTGAGGTAAGTTTTCTTTGCTTTTTTATTATGAGTGTGAGTATGAACTTAGTCAGTAAGTGTGCTAGCTCTCAGATTACATACATGTATTAGTCAATTCGTCAGCCAGTCAGTCTGTCAGCCAGTCAGTCAGCCAGTCAGTCAGTCAGCCAGTCATTCAGTCAGCTAGTCATTCAGTCAGCCAGTCATTCAGTCAGCCAGTCATTCAGTCAGCCAGTCATTCAGTCAGCCAGTCATTCAGTCAGCTAGTCAGTCATCAGTTGGTCAGTCATTCATTCTGTCAGCTAGCCAGTCAGTCAGTTGGTCAGTTGTTAATAAGTTAGCAAGTCAGTTAGGCAGTCATTCAGTCTGTCAGTCAGTCTGGCGGTGGGTCAGTCAGTCATTCAGTCAACTAGCCAGTCATTCAGTCAATCAGCAAGTCAGTCAAATAGTCAGCGAGTCTGTCAGTCAGTTATTCCATCAGTCAGTCAGTCATTCCATCAGTCAGTCAGTCATTCCATCAGTCAGTCAGTCATTCCATCAGTCAGTCAGTCATTCAGCTAGTCAATCTGTCATTCAGTCCATCAGTCAGTCCATCAGTCAGCAAATCAGTCAGCAAGTCACTCAGTCAGTCAGCCAGTTGTCATTCAGTCAGTAAATCAGTCAGTCAGTCAGAAAACTACTATTTAGCCCATTTTTTCATTGCACATTCTTTTAATGAGGTGATCAATCAGACTTTCACTCATGCAACCAGTGGTTGTTAAATTAATGTTACTATAATTTTCTGCAAAGTTTGAGAATTTTTTAATAAATGTTTAGCTCTCTTCCCATTTTGATTTTCACAATAATTTATTCTCTTATTTTTCCAGAGACCATTAGATGAAGAAATGAAAAAGGTATTACTTAATATTATAGACAGGCATAGATATGTCATGAAGATCCAGCAATGTGAAAAGAATTGTAAAGAGAGGTTTACATGTATTTAATTAAAAATATCCTTGGCAAGATTTTTATTTATACAAATTCATATTTTTTCCCATTTATTTACATCCAAGATCGTATCCTGCAGTTTTCACAAATACGATAAACTTGGACGCCCCTGTTACATTGAACACACAGGAAGAACTGATACCACTGCCCTGATGAAGGTTTGTTCCAAACATTTAAAGTGGATCAATTTTTGTGCTGTATTTGTCACGTAAAATGTATTTCTGAAAAGATCTTTTGGTTTTTTTTGAAAATCTCAAAACAGATTCAAATTAAGACTTGCTTGTCTTTTTACATGTAGCTTCCTCAAGACCAATTCATAGGATGGCACATTTGGAATAACGAAAGACAAATTCAAAGAATGAGGGAACTTTCCACAAAACTTGTGAGTAACTTGAACCCTTTAAGTCCCACTAGTGACCAAGACAGAATTTCTCCTTACACTGTCAGTACAATATCAAGTGGACAAGTAATGAGAATAAAGAAAAATATAAACTAGGGGATTATTAGCTGATCCAATACCAAATTCTCCAAACTAATATCATATGAATTGTATGGTAGACAGTAAGGAGAATTACTAATGAGATCTTGAGAGTTAAGGGGTTAATAAAGGTTATACTTGACTTGTCCCCAGTAGCCTACCAAGCAGATGAGTTAAAGAGAGGTTTGTTGGGAGTCTGGCACTAATTGTCAGTGCTAGATGCCTTGCAGACCTCTTGCTGGTTGCTTAAGAGAGAAATTAGAATCTTGTTACCCCTAAGGATTAAAAGGGTTGTGACAAACCTTGAAAATATGCTGCAATTACTCAGTAAATATGTTTCTGTCTGAGCACAACAGTTGAAATTAGCAATCTTGCAATGCCTTGTAGGCAAAACCACACAATGCATGAAGTTTCATGAGTTGATGTAAGCTTTGGCCTTAACTGCATAGTTTTTAAATGATCTATTCAATAACATTAATTTTCAAAAAAATCCAAGACACGTGTTTTTCTTTGATTTACAGGGACAACCAGTAGAAACAATGGTTCATATTCATGATATGACTGGGGCAAGTATGAGTCTAAGGTAAATTAATAATTAAAATTAAATGCTTTGTCTAATTTCTGTCAACCGTGTACACCCTAACATCAGTTTGCATTTTCTCCTTCCTGTTCTCTTTACATTTGCTGAGGTGCTGGCAAGGAGAATTTCTTCAACAATCTAGAGTTTATTTAGTTGGTGATCCTTCCCTTTATTCTCCTAACCTTTGTGTTTGATTCAGGGGTGATATTGTAAAGAGAAATTAGATACTGGTCACTCTTAGGGATGAAAAAGGTTAAGGATCAGACAGGATTCTTAGTGTGTAGCCCTATAAGCTTCTTACTCATGGTCAAAATTATTAGAACTTGAAATAATGACAAATGTAAATGACTGTGTAAGTTAATTTTGTTTCAGTTCTCCCTCTCTAGAAAGCATGTAAACATATACCTTTCCTTTTACTTCTCATTAGCCTGTCCAAGTTTTATAAATGTTGTCATTTTTTGAACAGGAAAACCTTGAATTTCTTCAAAAGAATAGCAAAACTTGATCAAGATTACTACCCTGAAAGAATGGGAAAGGTATGCCTTTGGTTCATGACACATTATTAGTGTTTGTTATGTATGATATAATAGTGCAGCTGACTTTTGTCCTAAAATGTTTTTAGGGAAAATATTTGAGTCCTCTCTTTTTTTTCATTGCCCATGTCACCCCTCCCTAGCAAACAAAACTTCTAAACCTGGGCCTGAAAACTTACTCTGCTTGAAGAAAAAAGTCCACTTAGCTATCAGGTTTCTTCAATGAAAAGGTGTACAAAAGCTCAAATGATTTCCCTGTAGCAAAATGAAACAGACTTTCATGAGGATTGCGAGGAATTGAAATGGTTTAGGTAAGAAACTCAGAATTATTTATCTTGTGGCTGACAGTGATCCAAAAGGATTACAGGCCCTGAATTGGGCCACAGGTATCAGGCTGTGAAGTTGATGGCCACCCAAAACCATTAAACCTTTAACTCCCAAGATCAGATTGTTAATTCTCTTCTCTAGCTGTTGCACATTTCCTTGTAAATTAGTTATGAGAACTTGATGCTGGATCAAGATAGCAGCTTCTACCTGATAATTTTGAATATCCTCATTACCTGTTTGCTGAATAATGTATGGATATTGTAGGGAGAAGTTTTATGTTAATCACTTCTGGTAGTTAAAGGGTTAAACCCAAATATTACATTAATAATTTGTAATATATTAGGATCCAGACCCCTTGCATTTAGGAACTGAAGTACATGCAGTTGACCTTAAAAAAATGGCAAGCACATGGTTCATGTTGTGAGCTCCAAAATATTACAGTCAAATAACAATTATAATTATTATATATAATTGTGTGATGTCCACTTGTTTTGATTAATGATTTCTGCCTGCTATTTATTTCATTTTCAGATTTTCCTTGTCAACACCTCATGGTAAGATAACGCAACAAAAATTTACTTCTTGATGGCATAGCTGCCTTTACATGGTCGCCATCTTTATTTTAAACCTGTGATTTCAATTGATTGTGTAGTACACAGAGCTTTGTGATATTCACAAAAGAGGAAGCAGGATTATTTTCTGATCCTAAGCTTTGATGCTTTCTAGGGTTTTTCCAGTCCTTTGGAGAATAGCCAAGATTTTCGTGGACCCAAAGACGAGAACGAAATGTGTTGTGCTTAAAAGCTCAGAGCTCAGCAAACTGTGTGACTATTTTGATCCTGAGGATTTGCCAGAGGAATTTGGAGGCTCTTGTAGATGTGACAATGGCTGTCTTCCTCCTATACCCAAACACATGGTAAGGTTGATTGTTTTGACAGTCAAAAATTGTCATTCAGTAAGTCCACTCAGGTGATATCTCAGGTGATCAAGATCTCTGATTATTGAAAGAATCCTCCCTTTGAATTAAAAATTTTCAGGGACCGAACATCCACACAAACTCTACACGAGCTGTTGTCTAGTCTTTTGTTTTGCTGTCTGACACCATCATGAAACGACAGCTTGCATTTATTTCAACCAAACATCTAACTCAGGCATACTCACAGTATTTAATCAGATTTATTATTCATTTACCCCTTTTTCTTGACACAGATATGAACCCTTTCACTCCCAAGATCTCATCAGTAATTCTCCTTACTATCTGTCATATGACTCTTGTGATATTGATTTGGAGAATTTGGTATTGAATCAACGAAAAATCCCCTGATTGCTATATTTCTTTATTCCCCATCACTTGTCTGCTTAAGATTGCATTGACACTGTAAGGAGAAATTCTCTCTTGGTCACTCATGGGAATAAAAGGGTTAATAATTTGTTTTTATTCATTATTTCTTTTGTGATAAGAATTTAAATTGATTTTTTGTAGCTAGAAGTGAAAGACAATCCACATCTGATAGAGCAGACAATAGGTATGCTATTGTACATCCAAAACAATATTTAAAAGGTGGCAAGGGGGGTAAGGTAAGAGAATTAGGTGTGATGGATGATGAACAATAACCCTGTTCCCACCCCCCTCAGTAATGTTTCTTTACCCGGATCATAGTTTCCAGAGTCATACCTGAATCAAATCAGGGGGAAAATGGAAACTTTCTGATATTTCTGCTGTTATCCCTCAGAAACAAGCTGAAATTTGTATGTAGGCCAAAAAGGACAAAAGGATTTTGTAACAGTTTTATCACTTTTAATGCCCTTAAAGCCTAACCTATTTTATTGGAAATTTATATGTAATCAACATATTTTATTTACAAACATAACAGATATACAAACAATTTTTCATCAAACCTTGCTTTAAACCGCTGATGGTTCTTTGTATTATAAGTTATTATTGATATTATCTTTTGTAAAGCGATTATAAATTATCTATCTTTCCATTACTTATGACTCCTACTTTGCTTGGTCAGTAGTGCTCTTGGAACTCTAACTTAATTCATCTCTGATTCCATCTTTAATGAAAACAAGCCTCAACTCCTCAGTTGTCAATGCTTGCAGTAACATTATAAAAATATGATTGTGAATTTCTAAAAAAATTTGTATCCTGCAGGACCCAAGAAATCATTTACATATGAAGTAAACTGTGATAACAAGAAAGCTGACATGTCCATAGCATGGTATTTTAAAGCTACAAGGTGACTCTCATTTAATTTTAGTACACAAAAGTCCATTTTACAGTTGTGCGCTTGGTTGCTAAGCCTTTTTACAGGAGTGAGGTTAAGGGTGACCTTGTTATGATACAAACTTTGCTGTGTTTCAAATACAAATTAATTTGTTATCATGCTAACTAGATACTGGTCTCCATCACGACACATGGTCACCTTCAGCCTCACTTCGAATCAAAGGCTTGGCAACTAAGTACACAACTATAAAATGACCTATTGATCAACTGCCCTTAATCTTTCAAATGTTACAATAGGGTTTTTCTAGACTGGCTTTTTTATATAGTACAGGTGCATGAACTTGTTTACAGAGAGAAATAACCAGAGATAAATATCTACCTGTCTAGTCTAACCTAACTCAGTCAATAAGTATTGTATGGTATTATTACCCCTATTTTTCCTCTTAATTACTTTTTGTGCGACTGGATGGCTTTTTCTGGTCTGCTTGTACCATTATGTTTGGCCACATACTAGGTTTTATTATGATCTTAAAAAAATTACTTGTGAGTCTGTATACTGGTCTAATGATGTTGATCATTATTTCTTGTTTTGTAGTAAAGATATTCAATTTGGAATTAAGTTCAAGGCCAAGCCTCATTCAGGATGGAAAGACAATGAAAATGAAATTGAGGAGATCTGGGTCGAGGAGCTTGAGCCAATTACAGAATGTGATGTATCAGTGACTGGGTAAGGTTGGATCTAGTGCATAATTCTCCCCTTTAAGAAGTATATATTTCCCTGTAAATGAGTGGAGAGAATTTGGTGTAATATCAATATCAGGCTGATGTACCTGCTTCAGGAATAACTTTAACCCTTGAACTCCTAGTGGTGATTCATATTTAACTTCTCCCTTTAATAGCCATAGACTATCCAGCAAACAAATAATGAGAATACTCAAAATAATCAGGTATATGTTATTATCTTGATCTAACACCAAATTCTGGCAACTAATTTACAAGGAAATGGGTAGCAGCTAGAGGGGGGAATTGATAACCAGATCTTGAGTGTTAAAGGGAAAAGTTAAATGAATTAACTTTGGTAAACTATTTCAATTTGTGACACCTGTCAATCCCTCATCATGGGTAACCCATTCAATTTCTGTCAGTTTTCTATCAGTCTTTAACTTGGTATTTTATGTCTGTTACTAAGCCTATTCAAGGTCTGACACCTGTCAATATCTGTACAGCACACTAAGTATGCACATCCCTGTGTCTAAAATTTATCAATATCTTTCTCACCAGTCAGTGTGTTTTTATGATTGACACTTGTCCATAACCTTTCAGTTTCTACACTCCACCTTGTCCTGGTATCTGCACCTTAGTGTGGGACAATTCAAACTGCAAGTGGCTCTCAAGAACAATCAAGTAAGAACACCAACCTTAAAAATATTGCAAAGTAGTTAAGGGTCTTGAGGTGCGTTTCTCAAAGGTTGCAATAACTTAATGGCTTAGAAAACAAAATGGGCTGGTTAGGGTGGTGGAAACTGTTTCTCGATTCTTTAAATTTTGATTCTAGAATATGGCTTTGGGCCTTTTAAGTTATTGGGCCTTTCAAGAAATGGTACCTTGATCATGTCTAGCCAGTGAAAGGGCTGTGTTTATCAATACAGTGGTCAAACGTCTGCACACTTGGGAAGGTTATAATAATCAGATGGCATGTTTTCAGCCTGTCAGAACCAAGTTGTTTGAGTTACCAACAACCAGTGCAAGCCAGTAAGTCACAGAGTTTTAGGGTTAGGGGTTAAAAAGATAAATAAAGAGGATTCCTGTATTTGTAGAGGCTTTGTGCTCAACAAGCCTTGAGTTTTCCTTTTACCTACTTTTGTTTCCATTTAAAGATTTCTATGGACAGTTCAATTTTCTTTTGCATATGTTGCAACACAGCAGTTTTTTCTTATCTTTTACTTTGAAATTTTGCATGGGAAATTGGCACACAACTGGCCAAAAATGATCCCCTCACACAAACGCGATGTTTGACCACTGTGTTACATCCATCACTGTCAAGGGGCTACATCACAGTCCGTGCAATCTACCAATCCTACGGTCACCAGACCATGCAGCTATCCTTGTTTCTTGTCAGTTTATTGATTACCCCTCTGTTTTTGTTGTTGTTGTTGCTTTTTTTTGTTTAGCTAAACTCATATTTTGTTGTCTCTTTCCAGTTGCAGTTAATTTACATTTGCTTGATGCAAAAAATTATTCAATATGATTGTAAGATTTCTGGTCCTCTTTCTAGGTACCATATCATGGTCAGTGAGGTAGACTCTGATGAAGAAATATCAACTAATGGTAACAAAGAAATTTGCTAAACAGCAAGTATTGTTGGGGCAGCTTGTAGAATGCAGTATCCATGTGCTAATTAACACTTAGAATAGGGGCTGGAGATCTCTATCGTATAATGGTTGATGAGGGCAAAGCCTGATTATTATGTAATGAAATCTAAAGCAAATAATCTAATTGCTTTGGTATAAATCTATTTGTCTTTGAAAACATAACAACAACTTATTTTAAGACAGTCTCATGTTGTTGTGGCTACTGCCTCCTATAGGAGGTGAAGCCACAGAATGATGTTACATTTTTGAGATGAGCAAGTGAGGGAGTTTTACAATAGAATTCCGATCTTGACCCAGTTTTGATCAGATGTTTCTGGGTGCTATTTATTGTTTGATTCAGAGTATCTTAGTACTGTAGTTTGACATTCACACAACACACTGGTAAGTTTTCTCCTTTTGTGATTTCTGGCTTATAGCCTCTAACACATTATTTTTTGTAGATATAGGCATTTGATATGTAACATTATATGATAAGCTGAGTTATACATGCATTTGGATTGGTTCTTATTTATATGTCAGAAGACGGATGCGAAGATAACATCACTTGGAAAATTTCAGTGATCCACCCAGCTGCACCTGGGGTGCTACTTTTTTGTTTTAACCTCATTTTTCTGTCGTCTGTGATTTTTTACTGAACAGACACAGAAACATGTAATCTAATCATTAACCCCTTAACTCTCAGGAGTGACCAAGACAGAATTTCTCCTTACAATATCAATTCAATGTCAAGAAGACAGGTGATAAGAATAAAGAAAAACATCAGTCAGGCTATTAATAGTTGATCTAATACCAAAATCTCCAAGCTAACGTCATGAGAACTGTATAGCAGACACTGAGGAGAATTACTTATGTGATCTGGGAGTGAAAGGGTCAAACTTTTCCTAATTTTGATACACAATCAAAAATAAGAAGAACAAAATTTTTTAACCAGGAAATATGTCTTGTCACATCCTTTTAAGCCTTTAACTTAATGATTAGCATATAACTTCTCCCCTATAACATCTACACATTATCCAGACGAATAGTATTGAGAAGACTCAAACTTATCAGGTAGAAGTTAGTAATCTTGATCTAACACCAAATTCTCATGACTTATTTACAAGGAAATGTGTAACAGCTAGAAGGGAGAGTTAACAATCAGATCTTTGGAGTTAAAGGCTTAACATTTAAAAGGAATTTTTCTCTCCATAAAGGATGGTGGATATTTTCATAGCATAGGTTTTAACTGTGGCAATTATATATGGTAAATTATTAGTTAATGGTAAATGATAACAACATTATTTATTAGTGAGAGTTATCCTGCAATTAGAATTCAAGTTATTTAATTGAATGATCATGAATTCTGGAAATATTTTTCTAGTGATAAACCATTTAACAAGCTATTTAAACAGCTTATTATACTCACATAAGGATACTTGCCATGATCACTTATTCATTACAAACATACTGCTTGATGGAAAGTGATAATAATTAATATGTTGGTGAGAGTTATTTCTAGTGAATTTTTAGATTTCCCTCAGATATTTGTAGCACGAGGTTGAAAACTGCTAATTGTGTATATAAATCGAGAAAGACTCAACGAATTATAAGATTCAGAACAAACGAGCATTTTTAGCTTTGTTCTTCAACTTCATACAATTTGGACATACGCTGAATTCTAAAAAGTGCTACAATATCTTTTCTACTAACCTATGGTATTTTCCTATTTTTCATACGCAGAAAACGTTTTTATGGGACTTAATGTGAAGTGTTAATGATATTTTCCAAGAGAAAAAAAAGGGTTGATCTTATCGCTATTAATGAAATATTTTCCAATAGAAAATATTTATTTAAACTTGGTTGTATGTAATTTTGTGAAACAAGCTAAAAATGTCATGGTCGGGTGTTTCAACTTAACAGGGCTGTTTTATAGTTCTTTGATAAATTTCAAGTATTGCTTCTAACTGATATTGGAAAATTTTTCTACTGACATAGAAGTGTACTCAGTTATCAGAGAATACTTTTCTGAAAATCGACTAAAATCATTCTGAAAGCGTTAACCACTGCTTAGGCGTTTCCCGCGCTTTTAGTTTGCTATTTGTTTGCAATCCTTTGTTGCATTTTTCCCGCTCATATTTTCCCGCTCATTTTTCGCGCCATAAGACTGGCTGCTTCGGATTTTTGTATTCGGTAATAAAAAGGGGTCCATTACCTTGAAGAATTTCCAGCCAATCAGGTTCAATCAATCCAGAAGCGTTGCCAATGGTTACACGTTTCTCGCGCTTTTCGATTTGCTGGTTGCATTTTTCTCGCCCATTTTTTCCCGCGCTTTTACCGGCTCCTTCGGGTTATGATTGGTTTATTCTGTAGCCCGTAGTTGGTCTCTTTTCACGCTGCACAACTTTGGCTAAGCACGACGCTTCAAACCAATACTTTTTTTAAGTGGTAAGTTCCAAGAAACTTAAAACTAATGCGATTATTTAAGTATTTATTGGCTTATTGTGGCTGTTTATTTACACTTAATTTCGGTCCTTTTTCAAAATATTTGAACAAGAGAAGAGTAAACTTAATCCTCTCTTGAGTTTATGTTATTTACATATTGTAATGTTAACGTAACTTTCTCATTAAGAGAACTTTAGATAACGCATATGCGTTCAGTTTTAGATGGTATACAAGTAGTATTGTATTTTGAAGTTAGAATATACGAATAAACCAGCATAAAAAAAGTGTCTTTGTGGTTTTTGTCTTGATTATATTTTTTGAATAAATATAATCATTGAAATTCTGAAAGTGTCTTCTCAGGTAAGAGCCATTTCGAAAGTGCATGACGGAAGAGGGACATTAGTGACTGAACTAGAACAGACGGAGATGGTTCAGTAGTTAGAATACTCGATGACCTTCATCGTGCTCTGATGAATTCGGACAGAAACGTCCAAATCTAGATGACATGGTTCGAAATCGGACGAATCTGTCTGAAATTGGGCTGAACAGTTCGTAATTTATCGACCCTTCCAGAAGAAGACAGAACGTTCAGAATTTAGATGACACTGTTCGAAATAGGACGAAACCTTCCAAAATTAGACGAAGCCCTCCGAAATTGGACAGAACAATCAAACGGAAGTGTCCAAAAGGGGATGGGAACGTCCTAAATCGACTGTCCACTTCGAAATCAGACGGCGGCGTCCGGAAACAGATAGACCCGACCGAAATCACACGAAGTTGTCCGAAATAAGTCAGAGCCGCGGTCGACAACACTGATCAAAGCAGTACAGGCGAGGGAAATCTGACTAGCTGATCACTCGGGACTTTTGTTCAGTGTTTGAGCTAGTGACCTCGACTTGGTACAATTATGTTTCAATTCCTCTAATTGCTTCTTTGATCATAACACCGGCCGCTGTGAAGTTACCGCACAGACTGCCAAAGCGGGATAGTTCAAAACAATTGAACTGAAAATTAACTTCACTAAAAAAAAACATGTTATTGTCGGATCGTCTTCAACATCTCCATGACGCTAATTTCAAAACAACTGAACACCATAACAGATAAGGGGAAATATGGAATAAATTTTGTGGGAAGGACTGTCTATTTTAAAGCGTATTGCGGTTTCCTCTGGTCTTTTAAGATAGCGTGGGAATGGTGTATCAATACATTTTCTCAGTCATTCGCCGCTAACTGTAACACGGAGAGGGAAAAGATCAGGCGAATTGGCGGTATTGAAATATTACAACTAATAGTTAGAGAAAGATGTTATTAATTCGTCTCGTCGCAAGCGTAGGACAACGAATAACAAGAAAAGTCTCATTCCTGAATATTTTAAGAATAGGTACATTTTGAGCTCGGATTACTACGATTATATGACTTATTTTCAAATTAAAAAATGGAACTATCAAAAGTTTTCTCATGATATGTTTATTTTGATAATTTTTTTCCACAACTTGTCAGGTCGAAGATGTTATCTTGATCGAACACTGATTCTCGTAACTAATATACAAGGAAATTTGTAGCAGCTAATGGGAGGAATAACAACCAGATCTTGGAAGTTTAAGTGTTCACTAATTTACAAAGAAAAACGAAATTACATATAGCCGCGAAAGGAGCGCTTACAAAACATCTTGCAGATCAGAAGGTTAACTCCAGTTCATAATTTTAAAGGGGATACTGCCGCCATTGTGAGCATGACAGCTTTCTTATCAGGTAAGTAGTTTTCCTTAATGAAACAATTTACGTTTAAGTATTGTTTACTTTCAAATTTGGCTGGATATCCACGCGCAAATACTTTGGCCTACTAAGATATTGCATCGGCTTGATGCGTTAGCATTTGGTGTAACTTTTAAGAAGTACAAGGTAACAAAATTTTGTCGGATGTCCAAGGAACATCTTTATTATTCGAAAGGCGTTTATCTCTCACTGCTCCGTGAAAAAAAATCGAATATGCAACTGCAAAACAGATGTTGAGCACCTGGAAATGATTTCTGATAGCCATAGCCAAATCAAAATTCCAGAACGGAAAATTATAAGACGTTCTATTTGTGAACACAACTGATCATCAAACTACGTGCAACATGAGCAGTGTTTCAATTGAATCAAAGAAACTCTAAACCTGCCTTAGCCTGACTCTCAGCTGGTCTAAAGTCGCCTAAAATTGTTCTCTGGCTCGTAAATTAAACTATATCCTTTCCGAGAGGTTAGGCCTATGAAAACCATCTCTTATCTTTTCATCATCAAAACACGCTTAGGCTTGCGAAAGGAAAGTCAAAAGCAGTTTTTAAAAACCACGCAGCGTCATAGCATAACAAAAAAGGCACGATCCTGGAGAAGTTCTTTTTGCCAGCTCACACAGAGAAACTGCGTGGTTTTAGCGTTTGATTAAAATAGCGGTCCTTTCGTCACTCAGTAACTGATGACAATCTTTCTCGAGAATCCGGATCTAACTTGCGGCTCGCTGGTCCAACGCCCGCGCGTGATAAACTGGATTACAAAGAGAAATATATTTGAGATTAGGGCAATGTTTCTGTTTAAAATTTCTGAGAAAAGGCACATACATGCAGTTTCATTAGACACCTGTCTCATTAGCATTTTCTCGTTATTGTCTCAGCCAAAGTATCAAAATAGCACCGAATACTATGGAGTGACCATAACGAAATCAACAAGTTGAGGAGATTTGGGCCTGTACAACATTAACCTTATTTTATAAAAAAGGATATTTAAAAAACTGAAAATTTCGTCCCGAGCGCTTTCCCACACCACGGAATACTTCTTGTATAGTGTTAAAATTGATCCACAGATTGTTTTATTTATAAAACTGTTTCAAATTTTGAATCTCTACTGATTCGTGTTCAAAGCGATGGCCCTTATATGGGTCGTATGTCAACAAAAATGAATAGGTTTATAACCAGAGTGTTCGGTGAAAAAATATAGGTATTTTTTTACTTTTGAACATTTACTGAGAAAACAATGAAATATTTCCATTGGACAAAAAAATAATTTCTGTCTTTCTTTTACTATCTTGCGGATCATATTGTGTCAGGCGCAATCATACCGGCTGCGATATCAGTACATCAGTCACAATACTTCGAGCTCACATCTGAAATGTGCAATATGCGCAGGGCTGATACAAAATATTGGCATTTAATAGCAGCGTGAGACCGACCTTTTAGGTGATTTCGTTGCTGCCTACACCAAAGCGTCGGCTAATTGGTGGGTGAGTTATTTGCTTTTCGGGAAAACAGTAAAAAAAATCACCGCTAACGGCCGGCCGCAGTTTTTCGTGTGGGAAAAAGGAATGCCAAAACGGGAGTCTAATCACCAGCGTCTGACGCCAAGAGGGACGCGGTTCAGTCTTAATATCGTGACTAATCAGTGGTGATCACCCACTCTCGCGAAGTGCGGGGGCAAAAAAATTGAAATCTGCAAATCCAGAAAGCTCGAAGAGTTATTTGTTTCATTCTGAAACGTAATAAATAAAGCGAGGCATACTGGAAAACATGCACAAATCGCAAGCACGTACAGAAAATGAAAACGCACTGACTTACCGGGGAAAGTCGCATAGTATTAGGAGTGAAGGAGAACGAACGAGGGGAGTATCCGAGGGGTTGACCGACTTTGAAAGCTATTAAGGTATGTGCCGCCCCAAAATGGTATTGTTTTTGAGTCACTTTGGTCTTGAGGAGGGTTACATGTGATCACTATAGTCTGAGACTTGGCAAGGTTTTTAGGGGCAGGGAAATAGCGATAGAGAGGGGGAGAAGTAGCCAAAATATATCTTTCGAGTTGAATTTAAAGGTGAATCCTTCCATTTCTACGTTCCGGGTATAGAAAAAATTGGCGTGTTTTAGTCTAAAGTAGATCAAGGGTTGGAGAGTCGTGGGGGCACGCTCCTTCGAAGAATCCCTAGGGGTACCCACTCCCCTGGAATGTGTAGGAAAGTACAGGCACACAAGAGTATGATGTGGGGCAGGAATAGAATGAATTGGAATGTAAAGTCGAAACATGCAACAGAGGAATGCACGAGGGCTGTGAAAGCAACAGAACGACTGTCCATATCTTTGACAAAATACACGATACACCCGCACATGCTCTATAAGCCATTTCAATGATGCCAAAAAAGCGCATTCTGCTCTTTGTGTGTCTTGGGGATGAAGGTTAAATGCTCCAGTTTTCATTCTGGTCGAGATTTCAAAATTAGACAAAGTAAATGGAACAGTTTCTTCAGTGCTATCTTCCGTTCCAATGATGTAACAAATGGAACATTTTTTCTATTTTTAAGTATCTCTCTTTGCTATTTATTTTCCATCTTATCCAAGATTATTTCTTTACGGCTAAGCACGATCGATCAGACAAGAGTTAACGTAATTCTTGAAAGCTGCAACTTGATATTCCTTAAAACCCGTTCTGTTGCTCTCTGCAGAGAACAACTGACTAACAACAGTGCGTACAACGACGACAGTCAATTCTCAAAAACTATACCATCCTCAATTTTCCGTTCAGGTCCGTCGGTTTTTTTGAAAAAGGGATTGGTCAGTTCAAAATTGACTACGTGACTGGATTTCTCTTCTACAGTAATTCATTTGTCATCACCGCACTTGCTTTGAATTAAGCAGTTCAATATTTATAGCAGAATCGACGTAGATTAATGCCGGAGTTAAATTTAGCTGCGTACCAGTTTTTATTTCATCGATCATTCAGCTTAAGACCATGTCATCGACTCATCATATTTAAAGAAGAACTTTTCGAGCTTATCTTCTCTATACAAGCAGATGGTAAACCCTCTTATAAGCCTTCGGCAGACCGGGGGCTTACGAGGGAAAGGGTCTTATCTTTGACGGGCTTAGTTTCAAGGGGCTTACGAAGGAAGAGACTTCATTGTTGAAAGCAAAATGCGCGATTCATCAATTTTCATTGTAACCACCGCCAGCTCAATTTTGAAACCTGCAATATCTGAGAAAGAAACCAGGAGATATTTTCAAATACGGCCATATTCTGTAAAAACTTTGCAACTCTACTAATTAAAACCATTTGCCCAATAAAACTACTTTTGTTCAGTAAAAATCCCGGCAGAAGTTGATAACCACTCAAGTCAAAATTCTTAACCCTCTTTAGAGATGCTATCTGAGGAAACAGCTGCAGACAAAATCCAAAAATTGCGTGTATTTCAAAGCCAATTTTCTTA